CAAACACAGTTGATGTGCTCGACTTCACCTTCTTCATATAATCCAGAATAGCTTGCAGCCGCTTCGCGGCCTTAGCCATTCTGACAATTAGAGCCACACCTTTTATTTCAGGCACACTTCAGTGGCTGCAGCAAGCAATAGTAACAGCAAATTAGTAACACAATATTATTTAGAGAACTACATTAATGTTTCATTTTATATAATATCACAATGATTGTGGCTAGGACTTGTGCTAAGTAGAACCCTTTATTGTGAAGCAAGGGTACATTGATGATCTTTATGTATGTCCAACCTAGGTAGTGTACCTCTATTTTCAAACCTCTGCTGCTTCTACTTAAGTTCCTAAAAGTTTGTTCATCAACACTGCTGCTTGGAAGAATTTCTTCCCCTTATTAATTAATCCAAAAATAAAAAAGCTAACAAAGTAGACAAATAAAGCAACATTAACAAGTTGCCCTAAGCACCTTCCTTTTTTGATATGATTGATACCCCAAAAAATCTTACCTAATCACTTAACACTGCAAGACTTTCTCCTCAAATAGAAACAGCCAGAACAACTAAACATCATCAATTAAAGTTTGTATGCTATAACAAATAGAGCCCAACAAATCTATGCTACATTGTTTAAAATTTGAACAAAATTTTAAAAATAAGTCTATGTGCCACCATTACTGTATGAGCAGCAACAGGGTCATTACAGCACACATTTGCAAGGCTGCAGCAGTGAAAAAGAGGCTGAAGATTTATTCTGTCTAAAAAATTTCACTCAGTTTCACTGAATTGGTTTAAACTGTTATACAAATTGTGGTAAGGGCATGCACTTTCATGCTTTCATTATTGATTGCATTCAAACTTGTTGGCCTATTATTTAATCTTGGAAATCCTTTACCCAAATACCATTGACAATACAGTCAAAAAATAAAAGTACCCAATAACTTGTGCTACCACTCTTTCTTAAACAAGCAAAACAGTGTAAAAATATTCCTATAATTGTTTTCACCACCTTGTAAGTACAGCTGGGTTCTTATTAAGACTTATGAAGGTTCCTCTACCTTCTAATGTTTCCAGAAAAAACTTTAGACAGTATCTCTATGTTCTTTCGCTGTTAGAATGTTCATAACTTTGTCCCATGTGTAAACCGCCATTTTGTTTGCCGTGACCACACCCACTTACGTAACGTGGGCGGGTGGTTGCTAAAGCCTGGTTTACAATATACGCAAATCATTGCGTATCGTCATACTACGTCATCAATGCAATTTGTAAACAAAAATCACAAACGTACTGTTGATCGCAAGACACGCTACGCAAGACCAGTTCGAAGTTGGTCTTGCGTATGCAACTGGTGCGTCTGGCCAATCAGAAAGAGATACTTACATGGTAATTATTGCAGACCGCACCTCTTGAAAATGGAGACGGATGTTCATCAAAAGAAGACTGTAAAAAGAGGTGGAAGAGCCTAAGAGATAGATTTGTTAGAGAATTAAAAGCTGTGAAAGTAAAGAGAGTAACTGGGACCAAAGGGCCTCCACCAACATCAGACTGGCCCTACTTCCAATGCATATTATACATCAAGGATACAGTTCGGCACAGAAAGTATGTGTCTCACCTTGTTTCTAATTGCTCTTCTCTCTCTCTCACTCTGTCTCTCCCTCCTAATAGAACTACATCCAATTTACCAAGCTTAGACAAAAGTAAATGAATTAGCAAATCCTATTAGGTAGGCTTTAATTGGAATTACTAAAATTATAGTGTATTTCATTATAGTCCTGTCCCAATGGAATAGCAAGCAACATCTGTTAGTGTTGAAAAGAAACTACTAGAGATAGATCATGATGATTCATCATCTGCTGTTAGCATTAAAAGTACTTCTTCTCCTTGTCTAACTAGTCCACCACCTCACAAGAAGCGTAAGCCTAATGTTGATGAAGCAATATTGGATACTTCAAAGAGCATTCAAGATCACCGCTTAGATCAAAAGCCGACTGACTTAGATGAGGACTACCATTTCAGCACACAAGTGTATTCTACATTGAAAAATTTAGAAACACATAAGAAAGCAATGACTAAGTTACGCATACACCAATATTTAACATCTGTAAATTTAGATCTTGATGACACTTCTCTCTTTTCACATGCTATTAATGGACAAAATTAATTTCATGAATCATCATTATTATTATCTTGATGACACTTCTCTCTTTTCACATGCTATTAGTGATTTTGATTATTATTATTATTATTGTAATAGCTTGTTATGCATAATTGATTGTTAAATTGATTGTCATACATTATTGATACAATTCAGTCATATGATACTCGTTGAACATGGTAATTTTGCCAAGATAATTCACCTTCTCTTGTCAAAAAGTATTTCATAAATGTGTCTCTTACAGACACAGCTTCCCAACTACCTCTGTTACTTTTCGTACTTGCTATATTATTAATGCCAGTATCATCTTGTGTTTGCTGTTGCCACTGGCCTAAAACAACATTTCCTTCAACATCTTCAGTGTCAGCGAAACCAGGTGGACAATAAACTGGAGATTCATGTACTCAAAGGAAATTGCGCAAAATGACACAAGCCTTAACATAACTTACAACATGATCTGGAGTAGCATTAATTGGGCGTTTAAATATTCTAAACCGAGCAGCAAGTATTCCAAAAGCGTTTTCTATTGTTCGACGAGCACGACTTAATTGGTAATTGAATTAGGACTTGTCCTTTGTTATATTATTATTTCTTGGAAATGGCTTTAACAAATTAGTTCCTAATGGAAAGCCATCATCACCTACAAAGACATAGGGAGCTTTCAAATCTGATTGATCAGGTAAAGATGTTGGATCAGGTAAGTTAATTGAGTCCATTTCTAGGGACGTTCCACATGATGAGTATGATAAAATCCCACCATCACTTTCTTTTCCATTTCCCCCAATATCAACCATTAAAAACTGGTAATAAGCATCACAAACTGCTAATAGTACAACTGAGAACGTCCCCTTATAGTTGTAATATGTTGAACCACTATTATTGGATGCTTGAATCACTACATGTTTCCCATCGATTGCACCAAAACAGTTAGGAAAGTTCCATGATCTCCAAAACTGCAGGCTAATTGCTTTCCATTCTTCTATTGATTGGGGAAACTTCAAATAACTACTGACCAATGCATCCCAAATAGCACAGCATGTTTCATGTAAAACTTTACTGACAGTTGCCCAACCCATTTTGAAATTGAATGATAAAGATATCTGGGAATTTCCAGTGGCTAGAAAACGTAGAGTAAGTGCCAACTTCTCTGCTGGTGTTATGCTTGGTCTGTTACCACTAATATAACGTCTACGGGTGAGGTAAGGGGTCACTACTCTGACTAAAACATCAAATGTCTCTCTTTTCATCCTCAAATACATGAAGTGAGACTCTGGATCTGCTAACCTCATTTCTTGAAGCAGATTATGGTACTCACTATAGTGTCTTCTTAAACTGTATATATGTTTGACCCAGAGTCTCTTTGGGTGTCGCTTTCTCTTGTTTCTGCACCACAAAAGCAGTAACAGAAGCAAAAGTTCATCGTCTCTTTCTTCATCCATTTTGCTTCGCTGCTCTGGGAGAAGTAAGTCACGCCTACCCGTCTATACTGCTACTTACGTAATTGTAAACACAATTTACGCAAAAGTCCAATCCTATGCCAGCATACAGCGTCCTAACAGCACTACGTATACATATTGCAAACATAGCTTAAGGCTTGTTATTTTTGCAATACAACGTGTATAGAAGAAATGTAAGTGGTGACGTACAATCAAATATATATATATATCGCACATGGGGGAAATCAATTATAGGACAACCTGGGGGTGTAGCCTCCAGGTCGTAAAAAGTATTCTCACCAAATTATTAAATTGCAATAGAAGTATCTAGGATAATAATACATATAGCTTTTAACTTTTAATCACGAAGTCCTAACTTTCATGTAGGTTACACATCAATAACAATCATCAGAACTGCAGTATAAAGCTAAATGACAAAAATAATGCTATCCAGTTGAGTACATACTAGTACTCACTTAATATAAAGCATATAACTAATTACTACTTTATTAATCACTTGCTAGAGCCTCAGTCTTTCAGCGGCAAACAACAATAATAAAAATACATGTATATGTATTTTTTCCAAAGTTTTTCTAACCATGAATTTCAAACACACTTAACAAATAATTACATGTAGACCTATACACATTAAAATTACAAATGAATGAACTTACTGATATCAACACTTGAGTACGATTTTGGTACCTATATGAATGTGTTTAAAAAAATAGAATAAACATTGGCAACAACTTTTAGTATTGCATTTTATGACAAAAAACATGTCAATAGGTACAAATTGACTGCAGAAAAATACTTCAATTATTGATCTGAAATATAATTTTTAGAGGGGAATAATTTATGTAGTTTTAGTTTTTGCTGCTTCTGCAACCACCAAATGAATAAGAACAGAAGGTTTTGGAAATATACAACACAATAATAATTCTTACACTTGGAATAACAGAGGAGCTTGATGACGTTACTGGCACTGATGAAATGGTACCAACAGTTGATGATGGAAACTGTCCCGCTTTTCCCATTATTGGGTAAGAAATAATGGGTGTACTTGATCCAGTACAACTCTAAAAAGACAGGTATGCCACACTTACAAAAATTATAAAATAATATTTGTATGAAAAAGACAAATAGTCATGTATATAACTTATTTTTGCCTATAGGTAACAACACTACCAAAGTAGTACTAAAGGTTACTGACATATAATACAAGCCACATTATGCTTCTTCATCAGACTGTTTTACAACATTATTACCCATAAAGTTGTGGAAATGCAAGCAACAACAAATTTACAGATAATTAACAAATACATTAAACTGTCTACCGTTGTTGCATAGTGAAAACACATAGGGTCAACTACAAAACAAAGTAATAAATTGCCATTATTAATTCATTTGTACAAACAGCATTATGTGTAATACTATTATGTAATACATTGCTATTTCTATTACATAAACCGCAGGCCAGGTTTTGATTGCATATCTAATAGATTGCAAATCTGAAAAAATAACTAGTTTGCGTTTCCAACAATTGCAAGATGCTAGCCTAGCTAGCCACGCTCACAAGTTAACTGATTGTCTTGTTTCTCTCCTTTGCCATTTAAAGCTACTGCCACAGCTTGATTAACTTCCTTCAAGATGTTAGGTGGCATTGGGACTTGGCTAGATGAGGTAATTTGGGTTGAAAATAGCACAGGACACAACTCATGATGCAGTAAATGAAACACGTGTACAAAAAATGATTGATAGGTGTGGCACTTATTAATTATTATAGGCGTGGCATTCATCAATTATTACTAATTACAATTCTTTTCATTGCAAGTTGTATTCCAGACTCGCAATTCGCAATCAAAAAAAACCTCGCAATCAAAACCCAGCCTACAGTATTTTTTCTTAATACTATTACTTTTATTATAAAATTTCAGCAAAATGTAATACATTAGCATTACTAATACCAGGGAACCCTTTCATTCCTATTACTATAATTACTTTTTACTATTACCATTAGTATCAAAGGTGGCTTCATTTTTGTTTAAAATATTAACTTGTGTGTGCTCTGTTCAGTGGCATATTACAACTTTCTTATTACCACAAGTGACAAAACAAAGGCATGTGGCAGGCAAGCAAAGCAATAAGATTTCGCAAATGCAGTTCATAATACAATAAAAATATCCCTTCTTTTCAAAATTCCTTGTAACATCAGCCTCTGCTCTTTTATAAACATACCGTTTAGCTGGAAATATTTGCGGGGAATTAAATTTTGCGAGTTTGTGAATCTATTTAAAGCACAAAATTTAAATCCACAAAATAATAAAATTCATGCATGACCACAGTAGATAATGCTACAATAACTGTCAAAACCGCAAATATTTAATCCGCAACCAGGTTATTTTCAAGGATTCGCAAAATTTTTCTCCGCAAAATTAACCAGCTGTATGATAATATATCCTAACAAATTGCCTGCTTCTGTAGTGAGAGCACGAATCTATCACAAGCTAAATCCACAAGCAAAGTGTTTTTAGAAATATGACAGTGCAGGAACGCCAACCATTTATAAAAGGATGATCTCTGTTTCACTGAGTCAGCATTAAAAAACAAGGTGATTTTATGTAGCAGACACTTCTTTACCGTACACCTAAAGGTGCAAAAGGTCTGGCTAGTGACACCAGATGACTTGTTCTTATCAAAGTGCTGTCTTCTAAATTAAAGGTATTTTTGCAATTAAGGTGTAGTTTACCTAATTAACATTATACCCTACTCTCAACATTATTATTGTATTCAATATTGTGTTTATAATTTGTAATGTGTGTCTACGGGTACCATTTTCATTACACTTACATTATAAATATTTTGTGAGGTTGTTCTAAAACCATCAGTTGTTATTGCTTAAAGGGCAACTGAACTGAATTTTTTGGATTTTTCAATAATCAAGTCACAGTATTATATAGGCAGTAGCCTATATGTAGGATTGAGGTTGGTTTTTCAAGATGGCGGCTGTTTTTATGATTTTCAAACACTTATAACTCTTTTATCTTACGTTGTACAGCCTTATAAATGGCTTAAATGAGCTCTCCTTCACTGAGCGATTCTCCTGGTACCTTTAAAGTGGACTGTAATGTAGCGGGAGCTTTTCTGGAGAATAGGCCCAAATTCAAATTTCTGCAAAATTCTTCAGACTTTTCTCTTCAC